ATTCTATGAAAAGCAGAGGCGCAGGGGCTCGGTCTCACCCCGCTCTCACACACAGGCTTCAGTCCTGCATGGCAGTTACACGCGTTTTCCGACTCCGCTCGTGGTTGCAGCTGTGATGGGCGTTTTTGGTCCCTTTTCAACCTTGTTTAAGTTCTCAGCCTCAACAACTTCCTGCAGCGATGAATTCTGCAGCTTAATTAAACATTGCGAGGAAAAGGACTTCCTCTTATCAGGTTTGAATTTCCTGCCCTGTCAATCCCAGCGCGGGAAGTGTCCCGGTCTCCGCATCCCAATTTTTCTGCCTTTCGAGGGTGAAACCCAGGGGGATGCTGCTGGGGGTGACCTGAGACCCGGCGGCTGGGGCACTGAAAGCTTTGGCCAATGATTTTTTCCAAGCCGTGAGGAGCTCGTCCTGATTCCCTGCTTTCAAGGTGATGCATCAGAGCGAGGCGGTGGGAAACACCAGCTGACCTCGGGCTGGTATCCAAGATTCCTGCAACCTTGGCTTGGCTGGGGTAGCTCCTCTAATTTTCATGGAGCGCCTTGAGGAATTACAAACAGCTCAAAGGGAAACAACCTGATTTAAAGAGAAATTCCTGTGGTCCCCAAAAAAACCCACAAATATGCATTTCCCTGTTGCTATTACTATCTCAGACCTTGATCCTCCTCCAAATACTCGTGCTTACGTTTAACAGCTTGCAAACGAGCGATCCCTCGGATTCGGGAGTGGGAACGTTGGCTGGGATCATGAGTTATTAAAGATGAAGGATGCTTTCAAATGCACCGCGCTGTGTTTTTCAATGCACTTTATGGCCTTCCTGGCCCTTCCCTCAACCCAACCGGGAAAAATTCGTGGCCAAGTTTGGAGGGGAGGTTTGTATGTGAGGCGCTTGGGCACAAACGCAACCCTTTTTGCTAGACGTGGTTTCTAGTGGAGTAAGACAGGCATTTCTTTCTGCCTGCTGTTCTGGGAAGCCTTTTCTTTCGCAGATCTCTCTTGTGGGCCCTGTTCAAGCTCCCTGGGCTTCCTTCCCAGCAGCACTGGTGCAGTTTGAAGGTATCGCTGCATTTGCTGCCATCTAATGGGAGAATTCAGCCTTGGTGACCTCAACTCTACCATTATTGCAAGCCAATAACTACATTTTCCTGCACAATCCTGTTGCCACTTGGCCAAGCAGCATCTTCGGCACATAATCCCAGCAAATTTAGGCGAAGGGAAAAGCCGATCTGCTGCATGGCTTCGGCATACGTGCAGCCGGGCAGCTCTGCACGGGGTCACGCAGCTGTGAACCATTGCAGACACAGTAAAAAGAACCTTTTTGGGTTGATCAGGCTGAAATGGTGCTTCTCTAATGACGGGCCAGTCTTGCAAAGTGTGCTTGGATTTGTATTATTTTAAGATAAAACAGCAATGCAGAAATAGTGAAGGTGGGCCCAAACAAACATCAAAACAGATCTTGTTAGATACCTGAATGGTGAATGTAGGCAGCTGTGAACTGAGCCACAAACTCTTCCTGAGGAGTCTTCAGGCTGCTCCCACTGTTCCATCAGTAAAAATGCTGTATAATGAATATAATAGGGATGACACGGAATGGGAGTATAAATATATTGCATTAAGAAAAGAAAGTCTTTTAACGATAAAACCAAGGGAAGATGGTTTGTGGCAGAGGGAAGACACTTAGGGGATGGGAACTGGAGGGGTAGGGAGGTGCTGGAGCACTGGGATGGGGCGTGCGGAGGAGGCAACTCAGCTCTAAAAGACTTGGAAATTTCTGCATCACCGCAAAGTTGTACCCTACCTGGTGAAGCTCAGAACCCTGGTTTTTCTGAGCATTAGCCTGGTCCATCAGCAGTTCTCTTCATCTCCATCTGCAAATCGACATCATTTCCACTGGATGCTTTTGGGTATCGCACAGAGTTGGCCCCATTTACAGGGGTAACAGCAGCAGAACCAAGAAAGTCTGCTCTCGGCTCTGAGATCACTCCCGGGGAGATCTGTCCTTGTCTCATAAAGACTGAACCTAAACTGCAATTTTGCCATCAACAGGGATGTTAATTAGTCTCAGTTACTCTGGCCTTCATTCATACAGAAGTCCCAATGTCTCATAGCCTTGCAACGGCCACCCATTGGGGACTACTAAAAACAGCTCGTGGACTCCAAAACTGATCGAAGCAGGTAAAGAGAAAACAGGTACATAGACATGGGTATCAGGAGCCCCGAGGCCTTGTTTCCTTAGAGGGATGAGCTATAACAAGAGTCAGAAACATTCAGAATTATATACTTTTTTTTTTTTAATATAGTGTTATTAGAAAACCAACCCTTGTTATCACTGTATTTTTGTAAAGCAGAAACTGGCTACTATTATGCTTGGTCATAATATACATATAAATAGTAATGGCAACAAAAAGCCAACACGTCTGAGCAGAATTATTTCCGCAAAATCTGCATGTAAGCACAGTCTCTAAATACAACTGTAGAACTGCTGGGGATGAGGAAACACACATAATACATAAAAATACTAAAATACAACACTTGTATTCTTATTTATTTAGGCTGTATGTCTTCCCCCGGAAAAATATAATTCTTCGCATCAAGCTGTAAAAAGAAAGAAAGACTGAAAATTGTGCCATGTCCTTGTTTATTTTTTTCACACCGGGTTTGAGAACTGATTCAGTCCTTCATGAAGAAGCCGTCTCAGCTGCAGACAGGCAGGGAGCAGCTGCCTGCTCTTCCCGGCCCACCTTGATTTGCTGCAATAGTGCAAAAATCCGCGCCGGGAGCAATGCAGGGAAAAGGGCTCTTGCACGCACGTACCTGATCAGACATCCCACCCCACCCCCCGTCCTCTTTCTGTTATCCTGGACGTGCTCTTGGGGCTCTTGATTTATTTTGTGCAATTTTCAGTGGTTTTCTGGCGAGAGCCGTTACTGCTGACTGGCACGATAAACCAGGAAAGAGAACAATTAGCTTTACCTGAGCTAAACTGGAGAGACCTAAAAAGTGCATTTAGGATAGACTGCATATTTCATGGTTCCAGATCAAATCTGAGCAGACTGTAAAGCCAGAGCAACAGCACCGATGGCCCTAAACCCCTTGTTGTATACACCGGCCTTTGGGACACTCCTGGTATTCCTTTCTCTTATCCCAAGACTCAGTTTTGCTTCTTCCAGTGTAGTTGCAGCATCTCGGATCCAGCTGGGTTTCTTTTCTGCATCTTTCCTTAGCTTGCTTCTTGCCTGCAAAAGAAAGTGGTGAAGATTCCCAAGTATTTCCGAGGGCTCATGTGCACTGGGATCATCGCAGGAGGTGAGTGGGGCAGGGGCTGGATGACAGCCGGCTCCTCCGCAGCGGCTTTTGCTCTCAGCATCTGGGGGAGATCAGGAGATGTAGACACTCAGGGAGCAGCGATGGTGCCTGAGGGCTATTTCTACGCTCTTCTGGCTGTCACTGCCGTTTCAGATCACAACGGGGGGGTTTGTCCATCACCAGCAGCAGCCCTTTTTCTTCTGAGGTGGCTTTGGTATCTCTTCTGCCTTTTTCTTCAATTCATCCTCATGAACTTGAAGCAACCTGGGAGAAAAGGAAGCAAATTAACTGGGTGCTTCCCCCATATTTCATATTGCTGTGCTATTTGTCTTGACAACCGTCCATAAAGAAGGCTCAGCATGGCTGAAAGGAGTTAGGAGCTGGCTTGGCACAATTTGAGAACCACAGCCTCTGCTAAAAACGCCAACCTAAATCAAATCACAGACAGAACTGACTTCAGTCAACCCAGGGAGAAATCAGCAGCATCCTGAGAAGGGTTTTATTAACCTTGCAATGCTAGATATCAAGCAGACGTCTTACAGCCCTTCTCTCCAGCTCATCCTGACCGTGCACATGCTGCTTTGATTTTTCCCTGATGCTTGGGCACACGGAGTCTCCAGTGACAGTAACACACCAGCATATGGAGTTAAAAAAGCAGGGAGGGGGCAAATTAAATTCAGGACAGCTGGCAAAACCCTAGCACATGCCTCACCTGATTAAGCTGACCATGGACTCGGAGACGTTGTGGCCCGAGGCAGCGCTGCATTCGAAAAATATGAGCTGATGCTCCTGGAAGACATGGAACCCAAATAGAAATGTAATATTCTTGCACTGGAATAGCTCAATATATATATATAAATAGCCAAGGGACCGTCATGGTCAAAGGGAAACAGAAGGACTCAAAGAAACAACTCAATAACCTATTTACTGGAAAATGGGGGTGAAATCCAGCTTTTCTGGTAGCCGTGACACCAACATTTAGTATCAAGGTGTCGTGGTTTAACTCCGGCTAGCAAAATACCACGAAGCTGCTCTCACAAGGAAAAGGCTGATGCTGCAGACAGAACAAGATGTGATGCCCTCTGGTTAGTGGAGTGAATGTGGAGATGTAACTAGATGTTCCTGGGTCTTCCATGCCTGCCAGTGACTGGATTGGGAAGAAAAGGATCTAATTCTTGTTCTGCTGACTCCATTTGTGAAACTGGACAGTGGACACCGGCATAAATTCCATAAACTTTAAAATTAAGTTGGTAAAGATGAGATTTTTCTCACCTAATTTTTATTAGCCATCTACAGTTGAAAAGATTAATGGTACTTTAAGCATTTCAGTATCTTTAAAACAGGATGGGGCTTGGTGGTTTTATTATTTACATGATGCTGGGAAGATATGTGACACTTCACAGCAAAGATAAGCAGAGCTGAAAATGCTCTCATGTACAGATCCAGTTCCATAAACTGTTTTACTGGGGCACGATGCTGAGTCAAAACTAGAACAGCAAGGGGAAACAGGGAAAGATAGAAAGATGGGTTCAGAGATCATTTTGCCACCCGCCAATGCAAAATCAGTAAGTTAAGGGCATTCATTTTTCTCCAGATCCTCAGGCAGCAGCTGGTGGCATCCACCCTCAGCTGTCCTTGCTAGGCCGGGGCGGACAGCACGCTTCAGCAGAGCCCAGCACCCACCTTGGCCAAGCGTTCCCCCTCCTCGGTTGGGACCTGTCTCTCCGCAGCGCAGTCGGTTTTGTTTCCGAGAAGCAGAATAGTGACTCCTTCTTCTGCTCCTTCCTGGGTGATTAAAGAGGGGAGGATCAGGAACGTGTCTGAATCTGCCTGGAGCACCACGAAGGATGCCCATGGGTTTGGGTTGCTAACAACACCATAAATTCTTAAACTAGTTTAACAGCATTTAAGAAAGCAATTTTTTCTCTTAAATCATCTGTCCTGGTCTAGTAACAGGGTGGAGAGCAGGATGAGTTATTCTTGTAGTGAATTCGCTTTGTGTTCGACTTCAAACACCCTCCAGAAGATGCTGTTGTTGGGATTTACAGGCACTGAGGAAGGAGACATCTGATTTTATTCTCGCATTTGTAATGTCTCGCTGACATTGTACTGCACTGGAAATCGCTGACAAGAAGTTTCTAATAAGACATGAATTACCTCCCATTTCCCAGGACTCAAAGTGGGTTAATCTTGATTTAAAAGTGTTATCAAAATCATGTTTAATATTTTCCATTCCTCAGCACCGGTTTTTAATTTTTAAAAAGTTAATAATTATCATAATGATGCTGTCAATAAATTACCCCAGGAAACAGTGCAAAAAATGTGAAAAGGGTCAGTATCTGAATTTAAATCCTCCAAGAAAGATTATTTTCTAGCCAAAGCAAAGCAGAACGCCCTTTACAAAGTGCTGGGTCACCCCCCGTTGTCCATCCCTAACAGGTAGCAGAGGTCAGGTGAGGAAATGCTGATCTCAGAGTCACCATCAGTTCCCAGACCTCAGGGATAGAACGAGGTTTTCCTGCTTCACCCACCTGGATGCAGCTCAGCCAGTACCGCACGTCTGAGAAGGAGTACTCCGATGTGATATCGTACATCAGCACGACCCCGTCTGCCTTCCTGAAGAACTGCTTGGTGATGCTGCGGTACCTGCGTACATTATAAACGGTCACCGACGTGGTCTAAGGGGGTTTGGCCTAGGAGTGATCTGAAATCCCGGTGGGAAAGATGGAAATGCATGCTTATAAAAAAGGCAAACCCCAGATTTTGCTCTTATCCTGATGGCAGAGGCCATACAAACAGCTGGAGTGCTTATTTTTATCTTCATTACTTCCTTTATTACTCTTTATCAGATCAGACATGGTACAGAGTCCCTCCTTAAACACCCCCTCCCTTCCTTAGCAAAGCCAGGAACACTCATTTCCACTGAACTACCAGGAAAAAGAAGGTTGCTCTCCTTAAGCAGCCAGCACAGCACCTTACCTTTCCTGCCCAGCCGAGTCCCACAGGCGGAGAGCAAAGCGCCTGTTGTCCACCACGAGGTGTTTGACCTGATAGTCCAGTCCTAGGAGACAGGAAAAGGGGATATTCTGATACTGTAGAGTTCACCCCTGCAGCAGGGGATGGATGGGGAAGGCAGAGCAGGTGCGGCCTGAGGCTGCAGCTCAAGCAGGCTGGTCCCAAGCAAACCTCCAGCTCTAATGGCTGGATTTTGGGAAGGGCTCTAATCTCATAACGAGTAAAACCAGGTCGGTTAAGAGAGGAGAGTGTGGCCAAAAGGCAAAGCAGAGAGAAAAGCACTAGGGCCATTAGTAGAGGTGTCCTGGGGAGGGCAAGAAGGACCAGCATTGCTGCTCAGGAGCATCCAGGCGTGAGAAGTTGCTGGTTCTATTTGGTCCTTGGTGACAGGTTGTGTAGCACGCTTGGTGTGAGCTACAGGTACCACGCATGTAGTGATCCCCAGCAGCTTGTGGGGTGGAGGAAAGGGAATTGCCATGGTGACCCAAGGGGGTGCAGAGCTGTGCTGGAGAGGACCTGGAGGACACCTACCTACTGTGGCGGTGAGGTGTGGGTTGAAGGTGTCGGCTTGCAACCGGTACAGGAACGATGTTTTGCCCACGTGGGAGTCCCCAACGAACAGCACGTTGTAGAGGTGGTCTGGGTCCAGGGAGGCATCTGGCGAACCCCTTGGTGCAGCTCCTGCCCCATCTGCAGTCACAGCCCTTGGCTCTCCTGGGCCAGGCTTGCCTTCATGGCTTGTTTTCCGCCCAACTTCTTGCCTCTTCCCCTGTTGACCAACATTTAGGTCTTCGCTGTGTTCTCCCAAGAGCTGCCTTTGAGGCTGCACGCTGCTGTTGTCTGCAGCTCCCAATGAGCTGCCTCCGAGGACCATCCCCAGCTGATGATTCCCAGCATCTTCCTCCTGTTGGACCCTTGCGTTGAGGGTTGATGCTGGTGGCACCTCTTGTTTTGGAGGCTCAGCAGGTCCAGCAGCTACGTGCTCTGTTTCCATCACGTGCGGTGGCTTCTCCTCCAGCTGCTGGGAAGCAGTGTGGAGCCTCACCTTATCTGCCTGTGCTGAGACCTGCTCCTGAAGCTCGCTTTGGGATGCCTGTCCCGGAGTGCCTAGCCGCCACACATCTGGAATGAGAACATCCTCCTGCATCATCATTTCCAGCTTTAGCGTGCTGATCTGTAATGGCACCTCGGAGACGGGGGAGGCCAGCTCAGACACACCATCATCGTGGCCCTGTTTCAGCCCTGGATCATAGGTTTTGACTAAACCCTCCGTCCCTGCCTCCTGCCTTTCTCCCTGCACCTCCTCCAGACCTTGAGCTCCATCCAGAGGCCTCCCCTCTGCAGCAGCTCTCTCTCCCTGCAGTAATCCCAGTGTCTGGGTATCCTCCGGGATCTGCCAAGCAGGACCAGTGAGTGCTCCCATCTTTTCTTCCAGATCAGGACCATCGGCAGTGGCACGCTCAGGATACAAAGCAGCCGCAGCTGCAGGGGAGACAGCAGCAGCAGCAGCCCCCTCCCACACATCTGCAGTGTGAGCTGCACACAGACCTGCCTCTGAACCAGGAGTCTGGCTCTGCCCCCTTTCTTGAACCCCAGCTGCACCCAGGGGTGCCAGGTCTGCCTCTCTGCTTCCCCCTGGGATCAATTTGAGCTCATCCACCTCTGACATCAGCTGAACATTAGCATCAGTGCTCAGGTCCTCCAGCATGTCCAGTCTCTCAGCCTCCTCCCATGGCTGCACACCCACACCAGCCCCCTCTCCCTGCCCGAGTCCCGCTCCCTGCGGATCAAGCTCAGGCTCATGTGTCAGCTCATGCTCATCCTGCCCTCGTGCCCCATCCTCAGCATCCTATCCCCCCTACCCTGGGGAGTTTCTGGGCTGGCACCCCCACGCAGCTGCGTGTCTATCCACACGTCCTCCATCTCCATCATTTCCACTAACTCTGGTTTATTCCTCATATCCAGGGGCTGCACATCTGGAGCCACACTCTGTCCCTGCTCTGTCCCCAAGGAGCCAGCCTCACTCAGGGGCTGCAGATCTGCTTCTGTGCCTCCTCCTGGGGTCTGTTTGTGCTCATCCACCTCTGCCATCAGCTGCACGTTGGCATCAGCGCTCTGAGCTGACAGTGTGTCCAGGCTTTCAGCCTCCTCCCATGGCTGCACACCCGCAGCAGACCCCTCCCGCTGTCCGAGTCCC